CTGGCCTGGACTGATCGATCTGCACATCCAGAAGGGGCTCCTCGGTCAAGTCGGCTGACTCCTCCACCCTATTCTGCTCGAGTGGAGGTTCCTGTAATTGCTATCTGGGGCTTGTCGACCGGACGGGCGCCTTTCCCTTCCCTGCATGCTTTAGTGTGACGGAATAACACTCTTTGGCTGCGACCTGATCCCCCCGAATGTCTATCACTTTATCTCCATCGGGCCCGAGGCACCTCATGACCTGATGCAGAGTTGAGGGTACACCTCGGACTCTGTGAATCCATCCTCTTCCCATCAGGAGATTATACGAGGGGTGAATTTCCACAACCACAAAAGTTTCCATAAGAGCTCGCTCTGCAGCTTGAACTTCTACTTCCACCATCCCGACGGGTTCCACCCTCTTCCCATCGAACCCTAATAAGGGATTTCCGGTGGGCTTGAGCCTCTCTGGTTTAATGTCGAGCCTGTCAAATGTGTCCCTCGGCATAATATTCGCACTGCTCCCAGGATCGATCAGAACTCTGCGCACCAAGCACTCTGCCACTGTCAAACTGACTACCAACGGGTCGTCATGAGGCAGTTGAACACGTTGCAGGTCTGTCCAGTCGAACTTTATCTGCATTGACGGGCTCTGTTGGTGTAGAGTGGTCACATTGCCGACCCTTTTCTTCATCTGCGCCTGCCGCAGGCGCACCCGTAGCAGCTCATCTGGCTCTTCACTAGGCTCGGGTCGACCATGGATAGCATTGATTATACGAACTGGTTGCGAATTGTGGGAGCTTTGTTTATGACTCCTTTTTATTTGTTCCACTGGTCGATTCTGCTCCATCGCCGAGCCTTGAACATAACTCGCAAACTCCCCTCTAGCTATCAACATCTCCACTTGCCTCCTCAGGTTCCTGCATTCGTTAGTCTGATGTCCGAAATCAGAATGAAAAGCACAATGTTTAGTTTGATCCCTCTGTTCGAGGGGTTGTCTAATTGGCAGTGGTGGATGAAACTTGTCCTTGTTCTCCTGATACAACCTCGCCAGAGTGACCTTCAGCGGAGTAATCAACTCTTCCTCCCTGGACCTTTTTTCGGCCTTCCAAGTGGTCTGACGTTGCGGCTGAGCCTGCTTCTGCCTGATCTTTGCCTTGGACTTTTCCTCGGTCGACACAAGCGACGTTGTCCGAGCATTAGCTGCCTCCTCTTCTTCGAGGCGCACAAAGCCATCGGCTCTCTCATTGAGTTCATCCATGGTAGCTGGCGTATTCACTACCAGACTGGTGTGAAACGGAGTTCCGCGTGTCATGGCTAACTTGAAGGCTTGAACTGCCGTAGAAGGATGGCATTCGATTACCATACTCTTAGTGAGATTAAACCTGGTAAGAAAGGCCTGGAGCCGTTCATCCTTGTGTTGCCGCATCGTGAACAGGCTCGAGATGTCCTTCGGCGGGCGTTTGTTCCCATAGTACTGGCTTATGAACCGATCGCACAGGTCCCTGAAACTGCCAATGGAGCTCCTAGGCAAGTTTTTGAACCAGCTGAGCGCCGGTCCGGCCAGACTTGTAGGGAAGCATTTGCACATTAAAGAGTCGTTTTCCGTATTCAGGGCCATTTTCAACTGGATATGATACACATGATCGATCGGATCGGTTGTTCCGTCAAACAGAATAAAGACTGGCATAGCAAACTTCCTTGGATGCGGCGCATTCAAGATCTCGTCGGTGAATGGTGAATCCACCGTCCGAGCTGCGGATCGGAGAGCTTCATTCTCTCTCTGGAGTCCAGCGGTAGCTCTGTGAGTTACGGTTCTGCCCTCCGAACCGTGATGAGTGACAGTAACCATGGAGGGCCGGTAAGACGGATCGAACGACCGTTCCTCTATGAACTCTCTCTGCCAAGGCGACGCTACTCGACGGCGATCTACCTCCATCACTTCCTCTCGGTCAAACCTTTCCCGCTGCGGATCAACGTGAGTCGAGCCTTCGTGATCTTCAACTCGACGAACATTTGGCGGCGAATTGTCCATCATCCTTTCATCACGGTGGTGAGCTGACTGATTGTTCTCGTTTTGATCGCCTTGATGCGCGATACTAGATGGAACACCTCCTTCTCCGACCGGAAGCGGATGCGAAACTGCGGGTATTTGCCGATGCTGCAATCCAGCTTTCAATTCTGCATTTTCCTTTCTGAGAGCTTCAATCAAATTCATCAACTCTTCAAGCTTTGTTTGCTGGACAGCCTCCATCGGATTGGAGCTTTCACCTATCATTATTCCCGAACGGAGTAAAGGCATTAATCTCAAGTTCGCGAGTAGATCTAAGCTTCGTGAGTAGGAATTTTTAGATCTGGCTTCTAATTCTCCGAATTATGCTCACTGTTTACAAGATCTGAATTGCCTGGACTCTAAATCCGTCAGATCCTGTCACAATCGAGCAACTCGCGGTTGCGTAGATCTGAAGTCACTCCTGCCAAAGCTTCAAGAATCGTAATTCCTCCAGAGTAGGTCACAATCGCTCAGATCTGGATTCAAATCCGCAAGATCGAGTCTCGATCAACCGAATTGGTTTGAATCCATTCGATACTCCTCATTGATCAACCAAACTTTTATGCGTTTCCCACAGACGGCGCCAATTGAAGATGCAAGAAACTCCTTCTATCCTTTCTCTCTCTAGAATTCTTACACCTCAACCCGAATCAAGATCCCCCTCCTCTTCATTCCAACTCCTATTTATAGATACTTACCAGATATTTACAAGATATTTACAAGATATTTACTAATTGATGGACCTGGGCCTATTCCTCAGTAAGCCCTGGTCACTCTTGATGGGCTTACTCCCGCTCGGCCCATATGGCAGTGTCTTTCTATGGGCTGACCCAGCTGTTCGGACTGAAGGTTGTGTTTTGCGAGTCGGACCTGGCCCATGTCATCCAGGGCCTCCTCAGTTTACGTTTTTGACTACTACACATTATCCCCAACAATAAAAATATGAAATAAAAACGGTTATCAAGCATAGCCTAACTGTATCAATTTTGTTTGTGATACACGCAATTTTTATGATCTGCACATTTAGTTCCTTGTGAATAAGAAAATGGAATCAAATTGCAACTAACATTCTCAACGGTTTAGTCATGTCTGAAGAACCACCAAGTGTTATTAAAATAAACTATGTTCACACGCCAATGAAAACGCAAAGAAAGCTCTCTCTTGTCAATGAACAAGTAGTTTAATAATCATGAATTAGTACCATATTAGCTCATTTTTAATGTTATTTTTGCTAAATATTATAGTTGTTAGTTTATTTCGTTATGTACATTATTTTTCTATCAAATTCCATCATTTAAATTTTTATTTTTATTTTTTTTTTAAATCATTGTTGGAGGTCTTACTCAAGTTTGTAAGGGTGGAGTTGAGATTTCAATCGGGGTAGGAGCAGTGTAAAATAAAAAAATCCTCCCTTTCTCTTTGACGAACGAGACATTATAATTTATTGGATCCAACATCCATGGTTTCGTAAATTAAAACCACCGTCACGAAGATCAATTGTGCTCTTTGCCCACATGGGAAAACTTTAAATAATGCGACTCTTTTCTAGATTATAATTCAAGTTTAATGAATTAATTGAATCATAGTAATTAATTAATTTAGGTCAACGATGGATTGTAGCATCCATTAATAGCTAATGACCACAAAGCCCAAATGCAAAGAATACAACACTGCACGATAACTTGTCGATCAAAAAACAATATTAAATTAAGTGGAAGAACATTGGAGAGGCAACCCACCTTATCCTTAGGCACATGGGCAGCCATTGGAAGTCATGTATAGCCCCCCTCCTCCTTCAAACTACACCTCTCGTGGTAAAAGATAATGCGAAACACATTATATGTAGATATTTCAAGAGTCAAGACAATTACATTCATTGTATCCACATAACATGCACATTCCAGTTTTGTAGTTCCATCTAACTTTTTAAACTCTTTCAACTCACACCCTTTGACTTAGACATACGTGTTCAAAAGTCAGAATTGAATTCTAAAACCGTTGTGAAATTTGAACCACACATTAACTTGCATTCGTTCATAAAATATGATATATATATATAAGTTGATGGGGGTCCAACTTACACTTCGATCTCCACCAGCTTTCACACACAAACAGATGGGCAAACAGAAAGAGTGAATGCTTTGTTGGAGATCTACTCAAGGCACTTTGTGAATGCCAACCAAAGGGATTGGGCCAAGTTACTTGATCTGGCTCGGTTTTCATGTAACTTATAGGGGAGTGTATATCATGGTTAGCTCAATAGGTTACGTTCGTAACTCTTTTTTAAGGGATCGACACTGTTAAACACTCATATGAACCGATTGGTTCGATCAGTTTATACCGATATTCGTTTAAGTTCGTTACAACGCAACTGCAAATCATAATATATATATATATATATATATATATATATATATATAACATACTTTATGTTAGAGAGGTTTTTTCCGAATATGAATGAAAATCTCTCGGATTTATTTGAGTCTAATAGCAAAAACATTCATAGGTTTTGTCCTAAATCAGCTTTTGGTTATAAAAAAGTGATTAAGCAGCACTTAACGGTTTAAATTTTTAGATCGAATTACAAGCCTTCAATTTGTTACGATTGATATCATGATCCTACCCATGTCGGGTCGATTACAATTGGTCTCACGACAAGTTCGTTACAATTGCTAGTCCTAACCAATATGGAAATTCTTTTGGGACTTATAAAGATAGATAGGTTTTTCCACACGTACCCGTATGACACGTGTCCAACCAGTTACACATAGATTTAATCCATACCCAATTCCATAATAAATAGAAAATGATGCTTAAACCAATGAGCCATCCTAACATAAATATATCCCATATATATGTATTCCATACCCGATTCAATAAACCCAAAGAGCCATTAGATCATAAATTATAGTCCTGATACTTTCCCCGTTAAAATGACTAAATTCGTGTAAAAATACACTTCCAAGTCTACGAATATACAGACTGCATTTTTGGAGGGTACATGAAATACATATCTATATACCAGAGTGGTCTAGTATCACTTCTCGTATCAAATTTAGATGTGATACGAAGAGTTCAATTTTTCTTGAGAACATTACGAGAGTTTGAAAAAAAAAATGTATTATATACGGAGTACTAATTTTACAACAGTGGTGGTGTGATTAGGCTTTCCGTTCTCGGATAGAAACCGGAAGACCGCCACTCACGGTGGCAGTTAGACCCGGAGCAAACCGCAGTCTCTCACTCGGTGTGTCAACTCGGATATCGAACCGCCGAATCAACGTAAGTGCAACAATCTTCATCTGAACCAGTGCCAATTCCTTCCCTAAACAAATCCTAACACCGGCTTGAAAAACCGGGTACTTGAATGGACTTTCGGGGGTGAAAACTCCGTTCTGCAACCACCTCTCGGGCTTGAATTCGAGGCAATCCGGACCCCAAACCCGTTCCATCCGACCCATTGCGTACGGATGGTATGTAACCCTAGTGGCTTTTCGGACAAATGTACCATCTGGAAGAGTATCATCATCTTGAGAGAACTTTGAATCAAATTGAACTGGCGGGTAGAGTCTCAAACACTCATACATAGCTGCTTGTAAGTAATGCATGCCTCTCATTTGTTCCAAGCTCGCGAGTTCCTGAGTCGTACCCATGACTCGGTCCGACTCGGCGCGAATCGCCGACTCGACTTCCGGGTGCTGTGTCAGCAACCAGAAGAAGCTGGTGAGGGCGGAGGCGACCGTGTCACGTCCCGCCAAAAGGAAACTGATGACAATGTCACGAACGTATTTGTCATCGTCGATTGTGCTCAAGAATCTTGATAGAAGATCATTCCTGGTAGAGAAACCCTTTTCTCGCCTGTGCTGTATCACCTCGTCAGCTAGTTTGTCGACCACTTTAATGGCTTCCTTCAGCTTCTTCTCTGACCCTAAATTTAACAACCGTTTGATTTTCCATACCAACGGTGACACGGTGATGGCTCGCTCTGCTGACAATTTTGACGCCAGGTCAAATGCCACTGCAAAGTCCGAGGCAGGGAGGGACAGCTGTAGACAACCCGGGTCTAACCCGAATGAGAATTGACATATGTTATCGAATGAAAATCTCCGGAAAACATCTTGTAAGTCCAAGACAGTGTTTTCTTTACAAGAAAAGCTTGATAAGATAGGAAGAAGTCTCCAATGGATCTGGGAGGTGACAATCTCGAACGCATACGATCGTATTGAGAGGCTCCCGAACTCTAGACTCGCCATTTTCCTCTGAAACAGCCACGAATCGCCGTCGACGTTGAAAATACCACGACCCAGAAGATCACCCAAGATTGCAGAGAAGGGTTTCCCTTTTGGGTAGTTCTGGAACCTTGTTTTAAGCATATGCTCGACGTTTTCAGGGTTCGAAGTGATGGTGTTGCCGAGAACATGGACATGGATTGTTCCTGTTGGCGATTTCCGGAGAAGATGAGTGTACCAGTCGCATAGATTATCGAATTGCGAGGTCCAACTGCGACTCAGATAGCTCTGGCATACTTCACAATCACACCGTGGCTTGAACCTAAGAATGAAGAACAAGATAGAGACAAGACTGAATAAAATTGTAAAAGAGAAGAACAAGTATATACAAAAAGTTGTGGTTTGCAGAGATTGTAGCCACAAGGAAGCTTCAGAGTAGAAGTCCATCGATGTTGAATACAAAAAAAAAATCTAGAGAGAGAAAGTAGCTAGGAAGGGGGTGGGAAAGACGTAGTAAGAGAGAAGTTGATGTGTGAATCGTGTGATCAGAAAGAAATGGTTGGGTCTGATTTATATGGTGGTTGGGCTTTTCAACTGTAGACACATAGAGTCAGTCATGTGTAGTGCTGTTTAAATTGTACTAGTTTCTACTTTTGAAATATGGAATGGACGCGAGTGCGACGCAGAATGTATTTGTTCACGAGTAAAGCGTGCGTTAATTACTAACTTCACATCACGTAGACAGGTCATAGCTCATTGTACTAACATTTTACCCACGTGCTCTTATAATAGAGAGACTGTTTCACACACACACACACACAAACATATACTACGTATAAGTAATACTGTATTACAAACATTGATCATTTTTCTGTGCGACTCAAATCTAGACTATAGTGTCCAACAATTTATGTTCGCATGTTGTGTTCCCCACTAATTTTTCCTGTATTTATAAAATTATTTATAATTTTTGTTAAATTTTTAAAAATATTTTCATTCAATTTTTAAAAATATTCTACCATAGATTATTATTGTTTAAGGTGACCCCTCCCATAAGATTCTTTTAGGTCCATAAACAAATACAATATAATTATTTCACAAATAACACGATACAACAATTCATGCTTAATTAAAATTTAATTTTATAAGTTTCATTTTTAACAAAAGATACGACATGTTTATATGATACATTTAGTTAAACATTTTATTTTTAAGATAAGTTACACTAATCTCTCCTGACGTTTGGACAAATTACATAATAGAGTAACCTTTATTATTTTGACCTCTCCTAAAAATGTAAAATGTCTTTCATACCTTTATTTAATTTTAAAAGACTTTAATAAAAATAAATTTGGCAAACCAAAAAAGTATATTACCCTTTTATTTTCCTCCCATCTTGTAAATTTTATGGTACCCTACTTTTTTTTTTTTTTGAAATAAAAAAAAACCCTAATCAAATGTCATTAATGTGAAATATAAATTTGTATTTTGACAAATTTTGTTATCAAAATGAGTCCGGTCAAGTTGTAAATTTTTTGTTCTATTTGTCAAGACTCAATATTGGAAGCTAAATTAAAGAAGTGATCATGTTTATGCTCCGATACAATTGATGATGATGGAAACAACGTTCTAGGAAGGTAAGTGAGTATATGAGGACACTTCGGTGGTTCAAAATTAGGTTTTTAATGAAAATTTTCATTCTGCCTAACTTGAATTGATTCATCCCAACTTGAACCGGTTCAATTTTTGAAGGCTTTTTAGTGATGTTCAAAGCTGGACAACTTGAACCGATTTAACTCTAGCCTCACTTGAACCGATTCAAATGGTAAAATTGATTTTCTTAATTTCACTTCTGACTAATTTGAACCGGTTCAATTAATTAATTGTCACATTGAGTCTCTTTTTTAAGGGTATATATATGATTGTCACATTGAGTTTCTATCAATTTTTTAATTTATATGTTTGTCTTTACTATATAGTGATAGTAATAGAGCCACACTGTGACAGGCTGTTGGTTTTGGGCTCACACAAGCGGAGTTCTCTTACTTCATGCATGTCGGCCCAAGTTAATGCAAGCTGGATATTTATGCAACAGTTATAAGGGTCCCATATTGAATTGTCGATTGGCACTGAATGCATTGTCTTTATTTCAACATCAAATACGTACGATGTGGAAAGTTGAACCAAAATATTAGATTAACATGGTCTGATCTGGACACGGTGTATTGTGATCTGGAAGGTGTAGTTTTAACACGAGGAATAAAAACTCAGAATCGACGTCGACGAATTCAAGGCTCAGTCTAAAGTCTCATATAATATATATTTCAAATATTTTGCTAAAATACTCAAGACCTGTTCCTTAAACCTAACTAGATTCTTCTTTCAAAATGTAAGATAGACTGTTCAAAGTATTTTACGAATCACGAATATTGTAAAGTGTTTTTTGTCGAAACAAAATAAATAAGTAATAAAAAATTAAAACATTCTAGGTACTTACCTGAAGAAAAAAAAAATATTCATGTATCCAAATTAATCATTATATTTGTTTTAATCAATTCACTAATTTATATTTTTATATTTTCATTTTCGCTACATGAATAAGTTGTTCTTGTTTATTTTTAGACCAAACAGGAAAACACTATGTTCCATAGGACATTCAACATTCTGTGTTTCAAATTGAAACATATATAGAAGGTCTAAAGTATTCCAAGAACATTGTATGGGAGTTCTCTATCAGAAAATAATAATAATAATAATGATGATGATGATGATGATGATGATGATGAGTAATGAGATATTAAAACTATTTTAGGTAGAAGGAAGGAATCAAACAAATGAATTACAAGGGTTTATGGACAAAATTGATCATCGAAGCTAAAAAATTAATTAGTTTTTCTAGGTCAAATATTTTAGAATTATTGTCAAATTAATTAGTCTGGTCGTATTTAGATAGCTGGCCAAATTTGAGCAAAGTTATTTTTCCTACACCTTACACGTTAATATATTTTTACGGTCGAGTGTCTATGGCCATCCAGGCACTGACATGCACCCATTGAATTTTATTTATTTATATTATTATCTATATATTTTGTTAAAATTTTAGAAATGCCCCAACTCAATTTGTAAGAATACATCACTTTACATTCTTTCATTGGATTCAAATGATAATCATCTATTATTATTATCTTTTACTTTCTACCGCCCCACATTCATGGCAATCAATTCTCTCTCACACACTCATATTCCCACCCAAATTTAGAAAATACCTCACTATATAATCAAAGTGGGCTACAAAAATCAAAGGACCAATTGACCTAGCGGTATCACTCATTCCCTTTCAAAAGAGAGATTGGGAGTTCAAACCTCGATAGAGGTAGAGTTTAAAAAAAACACTTGTCGAACAAGACACAAAATATTAATATTTTTCTTCAATTTTTATTATTATTTTTTTCTTCAATGGAACCCTAAAAACAAATCTTAAGTCGGCCACGTTGGCCATCCTACAAATAATACACAACCAAATTAATAAATATATACACACGCAATCTTATAATTGTCTCTACCTATTGTGGCTATAGTTTAAAGAATCTAAAAAATAAAGGCAACACATCCATATGGCAGTTATTTAATTACCAAAGTCATGAATTTTTACTTACACGTTTAATTAGCAACTAATAAAGGCGCATCACCATATTTAATTACCAAAGTCAAGATTTTTTACTTACACATCTAATTAACA